TCACGAGCCTCTGTCAGCCTAGCAGCAATACAAATGAATGGAGGTTGGGCTACGCCCACGCTTCCGTTTCCAATCCCTTTCATTTACTCTATTATCTATGTTTTGTTTTGCAGAAAACCAGCCCCACCCCTTTTCCAAACATATTTACTCTTCTCTAAAAACTGATTTTGCAGGAACATAGAGAAACAGGATAATGTCCATGGCAACTTACAGCAGTCATACTTTACCAAGTCGTGGAGGAGGAGGAGGGGGCAGCTTTTATGGTGGAAGTGCTGGCCTCATGGAGAAGATACATGAAATGCTAACAGAGAGAGAGTGCAGCATTTTCAATGAAGGCCTAGCAGCTTATCACAAAAGAAGAGATGTGAGTAGATTTGTGGAATCCCTGAGCCTGGTACTGAATACAAACGGGAAGAGACAGCTTCTAGTCCCAATAAGGAACCAGTTTATAAAACCAAGTGATCTCATCAAGTTTAATGACCTCTCCATCAAATATGGCATAGCACTCCCGCTCAAAGGAAACACGGCTAAGAGCGGGAAGAATATGGTCAATAAAACCCAGACAGGCCCAAAAGTCCTTGAGATAAAGAGAGATGAGAAAGGAGAATGGGGTTTCAGCATAAGAGGTGGGATTGACTACGGGATTGGTATATTTGTGTCCTGGGTTGACCGAGGCTCCAATGTAGAGAAAGCTGGTTTGAAAGTTGGAGATTACATCCACAGAGTCAATGAGGTTGGACTGGAAGGACTTACTTTTGCACAAGCCACTCAAGTATGTGAATAACCTAAATGTAAATTATGTTATCAATTTCTTCTTATTAATTGATATTTAGAAATCGTAGCAAGATAAGAATGGTGATTACATCATATGGAAGGATCCCTGGCTTCCAGTTTGCTAATAAATCTTTTTGTTGGGTTGATTGTGAGGGGAAACCAGTTCTACCACCGACTGAGATTGAGTCCTTTGGGATGACAAGTGGAGGTCATGTTGATCCTAATCAGTACACATTATATGGAAGGATCCCTGGGTTACAGTTTGCTGATTTGAATGATCAG